GGTCCCCTCTGTCTCCACTGGGTGCAGGTGGAGGTGGGGCAGGGTCCTGTCTGTCTACACTGGGTGCAGGTGGAGGCGAGGCAGGGTCCTCTCCTGTCTACACTCGGGCCCCAGGTGCTGGCACCCACCTCTCTGCACACGTGCAGCTGGTAGCTGAGCTCCTGGTGGTGCAGGCGCTGGTGTGTCCTGGGCTGTCTCCACCGCACGACACACTGCGTCTTGTTGCAGGTCACCGTGACGTTGCTGGGCGGGTCGAAGCGTTCTGTAACGAGGGTGCCGGACTCACCCGTGAACCCGGGGCCCGCACGACCGCCCCCTCCCTCCCAGACAAAGTGGCTCATGCCTGTGACCCCAGCTCTTGGGGAGGCCGAGGCGGGCGGATCCCCTGAGGTCAGGAGTTCGAGACCAGCCTGGCCAACACGGTGAAACCCCGTGTCTACTAAAAATACAAAAGTTTAGCTACTTGGGAGGGTGAGGCAGGAGAATGGCTTGAAACCCGGAGGCGAATCGTTCGTGAACAGCCACGGAACGGGAGGCTGTGGGAGCCGGGCAGGACGGCCCGGCAGGTGCCAGGCACAGCAGAGATGCCCACAGGTGCAGGGTCCCGGGAGGGAGCTGGGGACGGGCTGGGGGCGTGTCCGGGCCTGAAGAGGTCGGGGTGTCCAGGGGATGAAAGAGGCCGTGGTGGGGTGCGGCGGGCTTGGGAAGTGGACAGAGTGTGGGTGTGGGGGGCTGACTCCAACACGCCAGCCCGGAGCCGGGCCTGGGCATGGGGAAGGTGCTGGTGAGGAAGGAAGGAAGGAAGTGCAAGACGGAGGGAGGAGGAATGGAGGGAAGGAGAAGGAACGGGAGGAAGAAATGAGGGGAGACAGGGAGGGACGGAGGCGGACAGTGGGGTGATCTTGTCTCACTGCAACCCCCACCTCTCAGATTCAAGCGGTTCTCCTGCCTCGGCCTCTCAAACAGGCGGGATCACAGGCGCCCGCCACCACGCCGGGCTAATTTTGTATTTTTATTACAGACTTGGTATCTCCACGTTGGCCAGGCTGGTCTCGAACTCCCAACCTCAGGTGATCCGCCCGCCTCGGCCTCCCACAGCGCTGGGATGACGGGCGTGAGCCAGCGCGCCCGGCCAGTTACACAGATTTTTGTTTGTTTTTCCCTTTTTTATTTTAAAGCGACACAGATTTTAAGGCAAATTCCACCTCACCCGTAAACAACAGGAAATCGTATGTTTCATTCTCTTTTTTCTGTCTCTTTCTTTCTTGTTGCTCAGCATTTTTGCAAGCGAGTTATTCTCACCTATTTTATTCGTGTCCAAAAGTGAATCGAAGAACTGGACCTCGCCTTCTCGGCTGGTTCCGGTAACCAGGAAGTAATTGCGTGAGGATAATCCCGTGAGGTTGTTCAGGTGACACCCCACGTGGGTTCCCAAGTCCTGCGTGTAATAAGGACACCGAATCTCCCTCCTTCCCCTGAAGGATTAGAAAGCGTTCAGACAGCAGTGAGGAAAATCAAACAGAACAAAAACACAAACCCTCAAAGCAAAACCACAAAAAAAAAAAAAAAAACCAAAAAACCCACAAAACGCAAACAGAAAACAAACACACAAAACAAAAAAACAGGCCAGGCGTGGTGGCTCACACTTGTAACCTCCGCACTTTTTAAGAGGCCGAGGCGGTTGAACCACGAGGTCAGGAGTTCGAGACCCGCCTGGCCAAGATGGTGAAACCCCGTCTCTACTAAAAATAGGCAAATTACACATGCACCGCAAAACCTAAAATGCGATAAACAAAAATAAAACAGAGAAAACGCAGGGTTCATCTACCTGAAACAACAGTTTTAAAAGATGAGGGTTTACTGTACAAACGATACTTTATTAACAATGTAGAAATTTAAAATGCAAGAAAGATCCCTCAGAATCCTCTCTTAAAATCCGTTTTTTGTTTGTCAGACAGATTCCTGTTTACTCTTTGATCATATATATATATATATACATATACATATATTGTTGTTTTGTTGTTTGTTTGTTTGTTTGTTTTTGAGACGGAGTTTCACTCTTGTTACCCAGGCTGGAGTGCAATGGCGCGATCTCGGCTCACCGCAACCTCCGCCTCCCGGGTTCAGGCAATTCTCCTGCCTCAGCCTCCTGAGTAGCTGGGATTACAGGCACGCACCATCATGCCCAGCTAATTTTTTGTAGTTTTAGTAGAGACGGGGTTTCACCATGTTGACCAGGATGGTCTCGATCTCTTGACCTCGTGATCCACCCGCCTCGGCCTCCCACAGCGCTGGGATGACAGGCGTGAGCCACCGGTGCAAAGGTATTGTCAGCAGAGACAGGATTTTGTATCTCATTTCATTAAATATTTTGAATGCTTTGCAAAAAAAAAAAAAAAAATTAGCTGGGCGTGCTGGTGGGCACCTGTCATCCCAGCTACTCGGGAGGCTGAGGCAGGAGAATCGCTTGAACCCGGGAGGCGGAGGTTGCGGTGAGCGGAGATCACGCCACGGCACTCCAGCCTGGGTGACAGAGCGAGACTCTGCGTCAAAGAAAGAAAAAGAGAAAAAAAATGAACAGAAGCATTTTCCCCCATGCCTGCCTTCCTCATAATTCTTCACAAAAAGTGAACACTTACTTTGAGTCTTGTACGGACAAAAAATACTGGACATCGCGGGGGGCGTTCGGACCCCGTGCCCAGCTACAGTTCATGAAATCCGCGTTGTAGATGATGCAGGAGAAATTCCGGGCAGCGGAACCCTGTCTGCCTGGGGAGGGGCAGAAACAAAACACTTTTCACTCAAAAGTTAAACGGGGTCAGGAGCGACGGCTCACGCCTGTCACCCCAGCGCTTTGGGAGGCCGAGATGGACACATCACCTGAGGTCAGGAGTTCGAGACCAGCCTGGCCAACATGGTGAAACCCCGTCTCTACTAAAAGCAGAAAAAATTGGCCGGGCGCTGGGGCTCACACCTGAAATCCCAGCACTTTGGGAGGCCGAGGTGGGTCGACCACTTGAGGTCGGGAGTTCCACACCAGCCTGACAACATGGAGGAACCCTCTCTCTACCCAAAATACAAAAAATTAGCCTGGCGTGGTGGCGGGCACCTGTAATCTTAGCTACTCGGGAGGCTGAGGCAGGAGAATCACTTGTCCCCAGGAGGTGGAGGTTGCAGTGAGCCCAGATCACGCCACTGCCCTCCGGCCTGGTGGACAGAGCCAGACTCCAGCTCAAAAGAAGAAAAAAGGAAGTTAAATGGGGTTGAGTTTGATGCTCTTGGGTGCGGCTTCAAATGGTGGGGGAGGGCTGTGAAGAGATCCCTGCGGTGTCTTTCTTACCGGGGTTCGGATAAGGCATTGTTTCTTGAAACACTCCTTGGCTGGTCTGCACGTGAACCTCGAAAGTGACTCCTCCATGTAGCGTGACCTCACGAAACGTGCACCAACATTCTTTCTTCCTGAGCTGAGAAGTTGGAGCGTGTCAGAGCAGATCAGGAGAGGAATTTGCCTCTCCTCTGCTCTGCGTGGTGTTGGTCTATCCAAACCCGGAGACGCCCACCTGCCTCCCTCAGTGAGATCGTCCCCCTACGCCTCCTCCGAGGACTCTGAGTGGATACCCCAAATACCAGCTGGCAGGTGGAAAATGAATGTCATAATCGAGCAGTGTTTAGAAGATCAGAGTGACGCAGGGTGGGGTACTTTATAACTGTCACCCCAGCACTTTGGGGGGGCCGAAGCAGGTGGATCACCAGAGGTCAGGAGTTCAAGACCAGCCTGGCCAACAAGGTGAAATCCCGTCTCTACTACAAATATTAAAATTAGCCTGGCATGGTGGCGGGTACCTGTAATCCCAGCTACTCCGGAGGGCGCAGGTACCTGTAATCCCAGAGGCCGAGGCAGGAGAATCGCTTGAACCCGGGAGGCAGAGGTTGCAGTGAGCTGAGATCACACTACTGCACTCCAGCCTGGGTGACACTGTGAGACTCCGTCTCAAAATAAAAAAAAAAACTAAGCCGGGCGCGGTGGCTCACGCCTGTCATCCCAGCACTTTGGGAGGCCGAGGTGGGTGGATCACGAGGTCAAGAGATCGAGACCATCCTGGTCAACATGGTGAAACCCCGTCTCTACTAAAAATACAAAAAATTAGCTGGGCATGGTGGTGCGTGCCTGTAATCCCAGCTACTCAGGAGGCTGAGGCAGGAGAATTGCCTGAACCCAGGAGGCGGAGGTTGCGGTGAGCCGAGATCGCACCATTGCACTCCAGCCTGGGTAACATGAGTGAAACTCCGTCTCAAAAACAACAACAACAACAACAACAACAAAAAAAAAAAAAAAAAAAAACCAACAAAAAAAACTATCCACAGGCCCAGACACATCACGGACAGAAGGCAGAAGGACTTCCCTGGTCCCTGTGAGGTCCTGGGCACAAAATTATGCCAAATACCACACTTGTGTTTGCGTCCCTTCCCCCACCCCGCACTTCTTTGTTTGTTTTGTGTGTTTTTTTTGTGTTTGTTTTTCGTTTTTGAAAGTGAATTTTGCTCTTGTCACCCAGGCTGGAGTGCCGTGGTGTGATCTCGGCTCACCGCAACCTCCGCCTCCCGGGTTCAAGCGATTCCCCTCCTCAGCCTCCTGAGTAGCTCGGACTACAGGCACCTGCCAGCATGGCAGGTAATTTTTGTATTTTTAGTAGAGACGGGGTTTCGCCACGTTGGTCAGGCTGGTCTGCCTACTTTTTTTTTTCTTTTTTCTTTTTAATTTTTATGTTTTAACACATAGTCTTGGTCTGTCGCCCAGGCCGGAGTTCAGTGACTCCATCTCAGCTCAGTGCAACCTCCGCCTCCCGGGTTCAAGCGATTCTCCTGCCTCAGCCTCCCGAGTAGCTGGGATGACAGGTGCACGCCACCACACCCAGCTAATTTTTTGCATTTTTAATAAAGATGGGGTTTCACCATGTTGGCCTGGCTGGTCTCGAACTCCTAACCCCAGATCAATCACCCGCCTCAGTCTCCCAAAGTGCTGGGATGACAGGCGTGAGCCGCGGTGCCCAGCCAGCTGGCCCTGTGGCTTCTAACTCGGCGAATGCTACGTCCGTCTCACCCTGTATTCGATGGGTCCGTCCTTCTTGTGTATTAAGATACACCTGCTCAGGCTGGTGTTTTCTTTGCAGTTCCAGCTTAATTTCATTGTCCTGGAGTTGAACGTGAGGTTGAGGCTGGAGGCTGGGGCCGCAGTTGGTCCACCTGCAAGAAAGGGCCAGCGGACTCAGAATTTCCTCTTTTCCTGTTTTTTCTTTTCTTTTCTTTCTTTTTTTTTTTTTAATGAGACGGAGTTTCAGAAGAAAGGAAGGAAGGAAAGAAGGAAGGAAAGAAGGAAGCAAGGAAGGATGGAAGGAAGGAAGAAAAGAAGGAAAGAAGGAAGAAACGGAAGAAGAAAGGAAGGAAGGAAGGAAGGAAAGAAAGAAGGAGAGAAGGAGACAATGAAAGGAAAAAAGAGAGAAGGAAGGAGGGATGGAATGAGGGAAGAAAGGACGGAAAAACGGAGGGAAAGAAGGAAGGAAGGGAGAGAGGGAGGAAGAAAACAATGGAAAGAAAAAAAAAGGAAGGAAGGAGGGAAGGAAGGAAAAGCAGAAGAAAGGAAGGAAGGAAAGAAGGAAGTAAGGAAAGAAGGAAGCGAGGAAGGATGGAAGGAAGGAAGGAAGAAAAGAAGGAAAGAAGGAAGAAAGGGAAGAAGAAAGGAAGGAAGGAAGGAAGGAAAGAAGGAAAGAAGGAGGGAAGGAGACAATGAAAGGAAAAAAGAGAAGGAAGGAGGAAAAAGGGAAGAAAAAATAGAAGAAAGGAAAGAAGGAAAGAAAGAAAAAGAAAGAAATGAAGAAACGAAGGAAGGAACAAAGAAAAAGAAATACATCTGGAGGGAGACGTGGATGGAAGGAAGGAGGGAGGGAGGGAGGAAGAGAAGGAAGAAGGAAGAACCCCTCTGTCACCGTGCACAGCTGAGTCCTGATCGTGGCTCCACGACCACCTGGATGGTCGCTGGGTTAAACCGTGGAGGCCTCTGAGCCTTTGTTTTGTCATCTGTAGAATGGGTGGATGGGCATGAACACAGGGAAGCAGGTGAGGCCAGTGAAGCTCTCACATCCTGGGGGGTGGGCTGGTGCCTACGGGGTCCCTAACCAACATTATACATGAATGCAAATGCACGCAGGTATCCAGGTAGGTCTCCAGACACCAGACATCTCGGCCGGAGCCACAGAGGAGGTGCAGCCAGGCTTCCATACTTACCCGAGTCCCCTGCGGTCAGGAGGGCTGCAGCACGCAGCAACCCAGAGAGGAGAACGGCTGTCACCAGGAGGGACTTCATGCTGACCAGAGAGGAGAGCTGCAGAGGGGCTGCAGGACAGAAAGTGTCACACGGTGAGGAGCGGGTTTAGCCAGAGCACTCCTGGCAGGGCGTCCCAGGGGACGTCCCAAAGATGCACACGTCCTAATCCCATGTGGGTGACAGAATAATGGTCCCAAAGATGCCCACATCCTAATCGTCATGTGGAGACAGAATAATGGCCCCAAAGATGTCCACACCCTAATCCCCATGAGGGAGACAGAGTAATGGCCCCAAAGATGTCCTCATCCTAATCCCATGTGGGAGACAGAATAATGACCCCAAAGATGTCCTCATCCTAATCCTATGTGGGAGACAGAAAAATGACCCCAAAGATGTCCACGTCCTAATCCGCACGTGGGAGACAGAATAATGGCCCCAAAGATGTCCACATCCTAATCCCCATGTAGGAGACAGAATAATGACCCCAAAGATGTCCACGTCCTGATCCCCATGTGGGAGATGGAATAATGGCCCCAAAATGTCCACATCCTAATCCCCATGTAGGAGACAGAATAATGACCCCAAAGATGTCCACACCCGAATCCTCATGCGCGAGACAGAATAATGACCCCAAAGACGTCCACGTCCTGACCCCCATGTGGAAGACAGAATAATGACCCCAAGGAGGAGAAAGAGGAGGAGGAGGAAAACCTACTTTGGATGCTCGTACAAATGGCGAATTCACATAATTACACTTTTTTCTTTTTTTTTTTTTTGAGTTAGTTAGAGTTTCACTCTTGTCGCCCAGGCTGGAGTGCAGTGGTGAGATCCCGGCTCACCGCAACCTCCGCCTCCCGGGTTCAAGTGATTCTCCTGCCTCAGCCTCCCGAGTAGCTGGGATCCCAGGTGTCCACCACGCCTGGCTAACGTTTTGTATTTTTAGTAGAGACGGGGTTTC